AAGATGGGTCTTTCATTGTAAGTTTGTTTCTATACATTCTTATTTATTTTATGAATAATTATTAACTTTATTACTTTTAATTAGACGAGTAGTTGATCAAAGAAATTTAAGTAACATGATTTCGAAACAGGATGTTAACTCGGATTTTTATATGGTCCCCGATTCAACTATTTCATGCAAACTTCCTGAAAAACTAGATTTTGGAGATAAAGTGCTCGAGAATATTGCAGAACGGTAATTTTTTTATTTTCTAATAAATATTAAGCAATAGTTGCTAATGTGTACATCTTATCTAGTAATCGCGATAGAATTATTGATATTCAACGAATGACCGTGTATTTTAACGAAGATCATAATAAGTTGGATACCGAAGATGTGCGTCATGCAGAAAGATTATTAGAGGAAGAAAAAAGCCGGCTTCAAATTTAATTGATTAATGCATACTCATATAGAGTATTTGTTTGCTTTAAATAACAGTTGAGTAGTTGATTTTGGGCGGCTTAATTTTAATAATTTGAGGTTTTATTAATTTTACAGATAGATTAATAGATTTCATTTCAATTGCTAAATGTTATAGTGTTTATTATGATTATGTATATAAACTTATTACACGCCTGTTAACAACATAACGAATGAGAATCGTACTCGTAAGTATTCACTTAATATAATTATTTTATGTAATATAGAAATGAGAAAAGCTTATAATCGAAATTTCACACTATGAACATGCCTCGCTTTATATAAAGCGTTGGTCAGTGTTTATTATTGCTAAAGCTATTAGTGTGAAAGATGATCGTTTTACTTGATCTTATTTGATCAGATACTTTAATTTATAAAAAAAGTTTTTAATTGATTGATTGACTAATTCACTATTTTATATATATCCACTATATCGTTGAACACGTCCGAAGTCAACTTTTCTATCAATAAATAAAACTTATTAATTCGTGAAGAGTTGTACACCTGATCAACCAATCATAATTTAAGATCAGGTGTAACGTGAAAATTAAAAATCTGATCAAAAAGTTTTAGAATTTTTAACACTATATATCCTTTATGCAGAGCATACTAAAATAGCACAGTATTTATATTATGATACAATACTAGTTGACTTGACGTTTTCAAAATCTTAAATTAGGTTGCACATCCCTAATTAGTGTTCCGGATCCGCTTACGTCGAGTTCGGATCTATAAATTGCTCGAATCCGTATTCATACTTGGTCCCGATTCGAGTTTTTGGATCCGGTCCGTACAGAACACTATTATTGCTCTTCTTTAATTCTATGTGTTCCTGGCTCTAACCCTAAACTAAAGTGTAAAGGAGTTTGTTTTGATTTTACGTTACACCTGATTTTGAATTACAACGCATAGGCTGTAAATTTTATTTATTTTGAAATTACTACATACTAGGGTTCAGGGCATGGGGGTACAGGGCATGCCTCTAGGGCATGCCAAAGGCCAAAAGGCATGCCTATAGTTAACTCTAACCTAACCCTAACCCTAATATTTATATTATATTTTACAGAGCAAACCATAGTATTCTCACACCAAAGTATCTTTTTGGAATCTAAGATACCCGGTACTTTACATAGTGCTGATGTGTAAAATATCCAGATACAAACTATTTTTCTCTATTGTTACTACTTCTTTTGCCAGTTTTTTTTTTATTTAATAGGACAATTTATGCTTTTTTATATTTTATATTTTAAGAGACCTGACCGGTTAGAGGCTTTGTGCTATCATGTTAGTTTTACATAGCTTCTATATAAACTAAAACCATAACATTATGTAAAAGTATTTTTTGTATACAGACTTTGATTTTGCTAGTGGAATGTATTGTATCTAAGGCATTATAGTTAGTGCTATACACAAACCAAATATGTATATAATAGAATTTTGAACCAGTTCTCATAGTCTATTATAGATTTTTTTTACTATAGTTATTGATATATCTCATGTGAGATTATGAAATTCTTGTATCTGAAATTTTGTGTGAGGTAAATTATTTAATTAAAAACATAATCTTGTGCAAGATGTGTGAATATATATTAGACTTACTTCATGTGAGATATATCTCTAACTATAGTTTCTTTATATATATTTAGAAAGTATTAAAAATTTAAAATTAATACTAAATATTTATTCTGTTATTGGTATTTTTTTATGATAACGATTTATTTATGGAATTTAAAATTATTTACTAATACATATTATTAACTAGCAATAATCATAATAAGTAAAAATTTTTATTGCTTTTTTATTATTATTAAGGCTATTTTCTTGGCTGATTAGATTTTATTAGTTTGTTATTAGGAAACTATTATATGAATAGTTTTTTAAGGTTTTACAGTTACATGATGAGTATATAACAAGCTATATATACAACTTTAGTTATTATCTAATTTAAGTAATCTGCTATACAGATGATTAATTATCTGTTAGTTTTATACTGTTACAGAAAGTGTAGTCTAAGCCTTCTTATATACTAACTATAACAGGAACACAGCTATCTAGAGACTTTAAGAAGCAGTGTTAAAGAAGAAGGTATAATTCTTATATCATTAAAGAATCATACTCATCTCTAAAGAGGCAGTTCATTTATAATAGTTTATAATCG